AGAAACCTTCTTTAAATGTTTAAATCATGGATAACTAAGTATAGAAAATTATGAATTTATATATTTTATAACATAATTATCCAATTTTGGAGATTCAAAACTATTTTTTATTATAATATACGGTATTGTTATTACTATTTTTATTTTTTTATTTTGCCTAATCAAACCACTCAAACCTATGTCAAAACGTCCTATGCTTAATATGAAAAAATTGTGTATATAAGTATTCGATGAAAATATTATGTATTACCTATTTTTAGAGTTAAACCAAAATTTGTTGAAAACTGGCTTTGCTTAAAAATCCCCGCTTTTCCTTAATTTTTTTTTTTTAATCACATAAAGTTTCAACCAAATTCACTTTCCAACCAGGGATAACGCTAAAAATAGGTAAAAAAGGCAATCTCCGAATTCATAACTTTTACTCAACGTCAAAAAACTGAAAAATAAAATCTTCAATTTTAATTTTAATTTTTCATCGACCTGAGAGTAATCTTAAATATTTTGACAGAGACAGCAAATCAGGGATRAAACGTCCATTTAAACATTGCAAACCAACCTAATCAAACCCAATTAAAGTCTAACCTAACTTATGGTTAATATAAATTAGTTAGGTTAGGTCAAATAGTATTTATTATACTTCGCTTAAGTTAAGATCATGATCAAATATATGGACGGATATAAATTTTAGACGGATAAATGGTCATGATCTTGACGTGCACGGATTAGATAATTACCAATAGTATTTGGCGGAGAATAACGTGGATATCAGTGTCTAACTCCTAAGCCTTTATTAAAAATCTCCTATTACTAAGGAAAAGTGTTGGTTGATGCGATATTATAATATTATTTGTATCACAACAACAACATGATATGCATAGCCGCAATTAAGTACATTTTTCTAGAGGGGACTAGAATTGTATCAGMAGCACAAAATTTGATATTCTAAACTAAAAAACTTGGGGAAGGACTATGGTTAACATTGTGKACCTTGCTCCTCAAGGATCACAGGTTGTGCCTATGACAATGACTGACCCGACTGTCCCACCGGCGTTGGCCTTGCAAAAAATTAATTTTTTCATATAAATAATTTGTAAGAAAATTGTTGTTATTTTTTAATATTTCTACCCATTAAAAAAATATAATAAGTAACTATTGGCWACCATTTAAATAAGCAACAAATAATCATACGTGTAATMACTTTTAGCATTGATATTATCAATGCTTTTAGCTACTTATAGGGGTTGAAAAATAAGTTATAAGTGTTATAACTCCTCCTACCCTCAAGGAATCTACTATCTACTTATTATTTCTTCAAAAATTACATTATAATCTGTAAAATATAACTAATAGCAATCATTTATAAACAAAATAAAATGTTTGATTTCCAACATAGATCTATAAATCTCTATGTGATCACTTTTTTCAGTCAATTTTTCCAATTTTCTTTCCGTAAAAAACACATTTGGACCATCATGAAAATTAAAAAAAGAAATTAASCAAATATTGTTTACCTCCTAATGATAATAAATTAAACCATTAGTTAATAATTTGCTCTCAAAATAAAAATACATATAGTAAAAGTACTAAAGGTAGTAAAGGTGCTTCATCCTCTCCAAATAAAAGCACAGCTGTAACCAGTTAATAAGATTTAATCAAGATTAGGAAGWTATCCCTATTTTTCAATCATAAATATCCTATTGAATATCTATAATTATAATACAATAATAATATAATAATTTCGAAGAGAATTTTTTTAACAAAAATATAATATTAAAATAAAAATGAGATRAATTAAAATCATAAACATAGAAAACATTTAATTAAAATCAATAGATTAATAATAAATAACAAATTTTTTTGTTGATATTTTAACATCACATAATTTAACAAATTAAGTAGGTAACTTAATTTATAATATCGGGAACACTGTTTTTATACTTTGAAATAATATGATACTTGAGTAGTCTCTGTTTATTGGATGCAGAATTTTGAAACTGATAAAAACAACATATGTTGGATAATAAACTATCATTTAATGCTAAATCTGGAAATTTTTGTACAGCATCTTCTAACAGTGTTATTGCATTATTTAGTTGTCCTTCATAAAATAAACATGTAGCCATGTTATTTAAAGCCTGTAACATAATATGCACAGGTATTTATTATTTATCCTAACATTTAAAAAATAATATTTAATGAATTATAAAAGAGCAATTATTTACTACCATGACTTTATTTGAGTCCATTATGTATGCATTTTCAAAATGTTTATAAGCTTCTTTGTAATTATTTTGAGCAATGGCTAATAAAGCAGCATCTATTAATTCACGATAATCAGCTTTATTTTCACCCAATATTTTTCTATATATAAAATAATATGTTATTAAGTGATAAATATAATACATATAATTTAGTTGATTGACTCATATAAAAATACTAACAGTGATTGAGGTTTCAGTTGAGATGATTTAAGAAAGTATCCATGAGCTTTGAGATCACCAACTTGTAAATAAATACGGCCCAATGCAGATAAGAGTGATCGAGAGTGTTCAATTGTGTATTTCAATCGTGGAGTTTCAATGAGATCTTTTAATAATTTAATTGCGAGCTTAAAATCCTAAAAATATAAATTAGATTTTTTTCAAAATAATTTTTTTTTTTTGTTCTACCTTTTGGTTTACAGCACAGTTAATAATTGAATGTATAACTCTTGCTTCTCTTGAGAACCAAAGCAATTTTGAAGTGTTTCGGTCTTGAATTGTCAACTCTACATTTCTACCATCTTCGGTAAGTCCATTATCTAAATTTGATATGATCTAAAACATAAAAAAGCAAATATAACTATTAACCTAAATATATCCATTCAAATTCTTACTTTTCTAACACCAACGAGTACTTCGAATAGTTTAGTATAAACATTAGCTGATGTAATTACATACTGGGGTAGCTCAGCAAGTATAAGCCTAAAACTAAATGGCACAAGTGTMCCATATTTGTTACCATACAGTTCCTTATACCATTGTATGTAAAGATCTGGATGATCTAAATTATCCCARGCCAATGCTTCTTTGCTAATGATTTTCCATGCACAAATTTTCACTAGCAGTGCAAATCTCGTGAACCACAACTAAAATTCTGCTATTATTATCAAATACAAAATATACWATTTAAGGATTAAACATTACCTGAAGTGAAGTTTTTGTATGTTTACTTGGACAGCCCACTTGCCCAGGACCTTGACCATACATTGCCAACAATCGAGTTGTCAAGTTTAATGCTTCAGAAAAGTTGCTCTCTTCAATCAACAATTTCAAACCTTGTTCATCCTGTGTAACTTCATCAATTGTTTTACTTTTAAATGCAGCTGCCTCAGTTTCGCCAAGGTATGACAATAGGTTTTCATATAATTTAATAGTCTACACAAAATATTGAAACAAACCAATATTACAATTAATGTATTAAATATAATTATTATTATATAGGTAAAGCACATACAAAATTAACATTTTCAACACCAGGCATGGTTAACATGTCTCTGGGCAATGTATGATTCATTTGTGAAGCCTTTTCAAGTGTATTTTTTGTTTTARCAGATGGTATCCAAGCAAATCGCCGTCTTTCATCTTCGGCTGGAACTGAAGATAATTCATACTCATGATTGAATATATTCATAGGATCAACACTGTTATTTCCAGTATTTGGGAATGTTGCTGTAAAAATATACATTTTAACTTTTAAGATAACCTCAACATGAAAGCCAATAGTTAGTTTGATATACAAGATAAATCTTACAAAACTGAATACCAAATCTAGTCAATAATTATTTTAAAATAATTCACACACTGATGAGTATAAGTGTGATTTTAATTTTTAGTAAGCAAAATAATATTCCTTGGGGAAAAATCYTCCAACAAAGAACCCGGAAAAAAAAATTCTTGAAATAAAATATGACATTTACTAATATTTAGATGAGAATGTATAAGATAACATAGAAATATCTAATGTTAATGATATGCCATGTATACCTAAAATAATTAGCAAACAGTATGATAATACTTAGAATACTTGAACAAGTATAGTAATTGATTACAAGTAATTTACAAGGTATCAAATTTGAACTATGATAATAATGTAACTATTATGATGGCTAGTAGGTACTAATATCAGAGCTGCTTGAGGTTCAATCATTGTGTGCAAACAATACAGTCCCCATGTGACGGTGTCGCAAAGAAAAAGAAAATAAAGGTTGGTAGCTACTACTTAAGTATTTAACTATAGTAAATATTGAAACTAACGTTCTTGGATATCAAATGCCGGACTATTATTATGACTATCCTCTAGAGGTTTGATTATGTCAAATATATCGGTTTTTTTTGTTTCAATCTGTTGAAATATACGACAAACTGCAGGTTCTTCTCGTTTGCTGTCGGTTGCAGCGTGAGATGATATATTATCGAACAAGTTCGACGATGGCGATGGATCCTTGAAGTATTCGTTTATAGCTGGTCGCAGTTCCGGTGTTTTTCGATCCATATTATAACTTCCAGTAGATGTATCARAACAGATAAAAACTAGGATTTCAATTTTTGAACATTTTTTAATTACTCAATACTTGTTGTACAATTAAATTTTTAATTTTTAAAATTTAAATGAACGACTTGTCGATTTATACGACCGGGCCTTAGTATAACCACTGTCCACTGTAAACCCAATTTAATTGAACTCTAATCAAAATAAATTTATCACTTTATCAGTGCATAGATAATATTATTATGTAACGATATCTAATATCTAATTTCTAAATAAACAGCTGACAAAATCCCGTTACTTTTATTAATCGTACAAAAATAAAATAATGTAAAATATATGTACAAATGTACAATATACAATTATTTTTTATCAATCAAGTGGTTAATTTTATTTTTTTTGGTTACTTTTTAGTTTTTCTCAGAATGTAGCGCTTATGTAATTTTGTGGATGTGGACAAAAATGTGAGCTCACCCGATTAAAGTACAAAAGAATAAAGATTACTTTTACATTCTTCTATTCTAAATTACGTTTTTCAAAGTGCGTTACCTATTAAGTCTTCGATTATCACATTAAACCTAATAGATTTCGYTGTCGTATTTAAAATTTTCAAATTCTGATTCTTTCAACTTGTCTCTTCGCAGCAATAGTCTGCCACTTAGCTTAAATATTGTTATAAATTCTTCTCCACATTTGACAGCGTTTTTTTTTTACAATCCAAATTATTATTGTAATGACGTCAAATGTCAAAACAGAAAATAATATTGAGTTGGGCATAATGCCGTCGCAATTGTTAAACGTTGTAATTAATGATTCCAATGGTGTTAAAAAAAACCAAACCGTGGCGACAATTCCATCAATGTCAAAATCAATGAAACGAGCATTAGAGTCGGAGACCACAATAATTCCTATATACACAAATTCCAATTTCAAGTAAGTGAAACAATTTCTTTAATGCATGATACATGTTTGCAAACAATTTTTATTTAATGTTCAATTATCAGTGAATTGTGTTTATTCGGGTTTCAGGCAAGTTAAGTCAGAAAATGGACATTCTGGACGCAAAGGTATATATACTTCCAATGATTTTCCAATCAAACTACCAGCTACACTATTAGCTGAATGTACCATTGAAATTTCAAATAAACCTAATAAAAATTCTATGTAAGTACCTAAAGCTATTGAAATATTTTTAATATCTAAATCTTATACTAGGTAAACCTAATTTAGTAATTTTTTGAAATGACAAGTTCAAATTCCCAATTTTTAAATCCAAAAATAGAATGATCAAAAATATTAACTGCTTGTATAGGACATGGTTTTCTCCATATTTTACCAGTTTATTATAGGAAACATGCCTATTCTTTATTATGAATTCACTGATTGYAATTATGATCAATTAAGAGTAGGTACATCACACCCACATGCATTATTACAATTTTTATTTTATAAACCTATCACAAAATTAATTAAAAGTTCCAATTCTGTGATATTAACTTTTATGAGTAAATTGTGCTACATTCATACTTAAAGATAAGAACGTTATCTGCCTTCTCTTGTTGGTTTTTTGATATTTTTACTATTTAAGATAGTTATAAACATTTTTAAATGTTAATACTATGTTYTACTTATATGATTGAAAATTTAAATATTGTAAAAAGCCAACAAAAAATTAGAACTGCTGGACACAAATTTGTAATTTTGTACAATTGTAAGATTGAGTCAACACATTGGCATACMGTAGTTGTGAATTTATAAAAATTTGATTATTCTGTTTCTGCTTTGAATGAATATTAGTAAAGGATACTAAATAAAAATAATATACACAGCTTGTAACATGTTATTTTTAATCATTTAGTTTTTAGTTTTTTGCACAATATTAAAATTGTATTCATTATGAAATTATCAATGCTTACAATATTATATTATCTAAGACTAGATTAGAATATAATTTTTAATTTCGATTATCTATTTTTATTTTTAATATTTTTTAAATATGCTTGATTTTTATCTTTTACAGACATCACAATGAAAAAAGTTTAACTATTAGAAACCGTAACTTAACAAATTATCAAAACAAATTTGCAGTTGAAAAACAGGTAAAATATTGTATAATACTTGCAAGTGGAGACCTGCCTTTTCAACCCCTTGTACAAATATTAAATTATTATAGTTGATGATTGTATATTGTAAAAAATGTATGAAATTGTTATTTACACTAAAATAATAGAATGAATTTGTAAAAATTGTATAAAGTTTCATTTATGTTAGTTTGAATCAATAATGTATAGTGTAATATCAGATTTGTATTTTGTATTTTATTTTGTGATGCAGTTAAAAGCTACAGAAAATGAAGTATCTGAAGTAGATATTCGCGACATGATGACAAGTGTTGAAGCTGTTTACTCTGACGATGAAGACATTCCAAAACCTGCTGTAGAACCCTGGAATATAGGAACACAACGACCAGAAATTCTTTTTCCATTTTCATGTGAATATTGTCCAAATAAATTCAGCAACCGTGGTGCTCTCTGGCAACATACTGTTGCTTTTCACACTATTGAAAAAACATGTGAATGTAATTTATGTGGACGCAAATTTTATCGTAACTGCAGTCTTGCACTACACATGAAAAGTCATTCAGATGAATACAATTGCGCATGTTCTATTTGTGGTCGCGAATTCAATCGATTTACATTATTGCAGAGACATGCCAAGCTCCACTCAGAGGTGGCTCAGTACAAGTGTACAGCTTGCAATAAGTCATTTGATGATCTGAACACATTGCAATTGCATGCAGCTGAACATAAAGACAAATTGGCATGTGAACAATGTGAAGCTGTATTCACCACTAAAGAATCATTGGACATACACATGGAGGCTATGCATGGTGACCATCAAGAAGATGTCATACAAGTCAGGATGAATGGAGGTGAAAAATCATACGCCTGTCGTTTTTGTGGTAAAACTTATGGGGCCAAAGCTATAGTTAAGAAACATGAACTGATCCACACTGGTGAACGACTGAAGTGCGAAGAATGTGGTATTGAGTTTACTCAGAAATCATCACTAATGCGACATACAAAGCGCATACATCCAACTGCCAGCACATAGAATAAACAATTAAAATTAGTTCTTTCAATTCGATCGTTATTAACATAAAATATTTTTATACATATAAACATATATTTTTAGGTACATAATTTATCTAATATATATTACATAAAAGTAAGAAAAAATCTATGTTGAACAATTATTTTAWGCAAAGTTATATTCACAATTCCACAGTTCGACCAAATTATTTTTATTAGTCAAATATAAATCCCAAATTTTTGTACCAAGAACTGAATTATACTTAATGAACGTAAGCTTCTATTTTTTTTTGACTAGGAATTATATTTACATTTAATGAATGACTGCATTAATAGTGTCCTTTTTATTATAGATATAATATTTAGTTATAATACTCGCGTTTA